GGAAATGAATAGTCTACAATATTTTATTGATTATAAAAGTAGAACCACAGTGAAAAATGAACAGTTTTTGTATACTGGTCAAGAAAATGAATTTGTTCAACCTGTTAAAAAGCTGAACGATTTCTTCATCACTACACAAAAGTCCCGCTTTTGAAAATGAACCCTCTAAAAGAACTGATGTTGCCGGTAAGCAAATATATTCATGCACAATCTTGACTATCACCTCTTCTTTGTTTTTGTACAAAAACTGAATTGGGTCGTATTTTTTGTCAACATATCCAACTCCAAACAGGGCTCCTGTCCTAAAAAGTATAAGCTCGAAAGTATTTGCAGGTTTGTCCTTTTCAGGAAAGCCTGAAAGTACTTCCAGATATGTTGTTTTTAGGACATTCCAATGGGACCCATTCCGTTTGGGACACATCAGAGCTATCTGGAGTTGGATCACAAGTCTGTCTGGCTTGCAGTATAAACTACAGTGAAAGGTAAAGAACGAATCTTTTTTGGCGATCGATGTCGAAGCTTGATTTTGCAACTGACCGCCTTGGTAATCGTTGTAAATCTTTTATATTCGGGAATTAAATATTCTGTAGAGTCCATCGATAGCATCTTCGTAGGGGCAGATGTCATCATCTTTACTTATATGGTAGTAAACTGATCTGTATGTATCAATACCTTATCTCTAATCAATGGTACCAGCAGCAGAAGTATTTGAGATACTAAATCTAGGAGGTAACTCTTTACCCTTGTGCCTCATTTGTTATCCATATCTGCTCATTATTGACGTTACTTTCCATAGCAAAACCTTATCAATACGTGGACTGAAAAATTTACCTTTTGATCTTTATACTCCTATCCGTTTTACTAGGGGGGCTTTCACCCCCCTACGAACGACAACTTTCAAAATTTGAAACTTGTGCGAGCTAAGGACTAACAAGGTCTTACCTTAAAACGTGTGATTCCTAACACGGGTTGCATGATAGGAAGTGAAAATCGAATGTCCGGCCTTTTGGTTCGAACCACCAGTTCACACAGTGGTCGATTGTGTGAGTGGAGCAAACCACCTACGTCAGTCCAGCAGACTACCTTCCCACTATAATGAAACATTCATTATTACTCTGAAAGGTTCTTTGTAGATGTCACGAACCATAACGTGTGTAAAAAGACATATCGAAAACATGTTCAGTAGGTGATAGAGAAAACGAACACGGAACAAAAGCTCTACTGAGTGTGTGAGCTGATTAACGGAAAAACAGATTTTAAACAGACAGATTCACATTAAAGTTACCCACATCATCAATGGATATCCGCAATCTTGCAATGCACAAAAACAACAAAATGACGAGATTGATTTATGTACAGACCGTCAGGCAGCAATCAGGACAGTGAGGAACCCAGGAGTGATATTTAAACTTCTCTGGTAGGGCCGTGAAGAACTGAAGAAACAGGCGGAGCGAAATGAAATGATTCTATCCTGGGTATCAGGACATTCAGGATACTTACATGCAACGAGAAATTTGATGAGTGTGCTGTACATAAATCATCAATCGCATTCACGAGGCCTTGCACGAGCTGACGTGTACCAGAATTTTTGGATAAGAGATGAAATTAGAAAATGGATGTGTACCCGCATATGAAATACTGAACCACAAGTACTGGGATCAGTACTCGGATCACTACTGTTCAGTTTCTATGTGAATATCCTGTTGACATCTCAATTCACAGTTTTCTCCATATGTAAGAATGAGAGAACTGGGGAGATTCAAAAGCAAAAGCAGAAAAAACCTGATCCATATATGTGATGGGTTTGAATGAGATGGAATTACACTCATTACTTTCCATTTACGTTACACTCGAATCATTTGCCAAATTTGGGGCTTTTGATAGTGGTCAACTCAACAATATCAAATGAAAAAACTACATGATGATGATTGACATACATTTCAAATGGAGCTTACAAATTGAGCCCGTGAAAAATGACTTGAGGGTTCAGTGAATGAGTTATGATACGAAATTGATTTTTCCAATGTTGGAAATTTTGAAATATTTATATTCAGTCAGCTCTAGTACAATTTCGATTGTTATGCGAAATTATAGAGTTTTTCCTACAACTATTCAGTTTAGACACATTTTATTTCTTTATTAATTTTCATTTTGTATTATAGATTTTTGGTAGGGAATTAAATTTTCATAACTGCATTATCGAACAGTCGAGTCGTTCAAAATATCTATCTGCTTGGGTTTTTTATGTTAATTCTTTTATTTTTATTTTCACTTATCATTTTCGTGTTTTTTCATCGCATATCATTGCTCTCTTTTCTCGAAACGACAGTTCATTGCCGAAAAATAGATGAATATTTCAAACGAAATAATTTGGGATGTTTCGAGCAGGAACTAATTGTTAACACTCTTATCGATTTAGACAAAGAATTCGGGGACAAGTTGTTGGCCCTTTTGACCATATTTATGACCCCAAACAGTGGTGATTTTTCAAGAGTTACTGGAAACACGTTTCTTAGCCGATTTCTGAGATTTAGGCCAAGAACTACTTATTATTCAGGGGTTTCCGCCGAGAACTAAACCCACTCTATAGTCTCCTCGCTGATCAAGGAAAGACTTGGCGTTAGTGCCTCGAGGTTACCCATTTTTTTTTTTCGGGTTGAGTTTGTCATTGTATTTTGTGTCAATAAATTTTATCGTTGAGTACGCTGAATAATAATTCACCTATCACCAGTCTCGACAAAATCATGGATTGAGCAGGAGTGGCGCGAATCAATTTATAAAATCTGAACTTCATGCAGAAAACTAATGGATCAACGTTGTGTAGAATTTCTTACACCCGAACTTTATGATATGAAACAGATCGGAATTCTCACAACTTTCAAACGGAATAACATGGATGTTTGGTAAAGATAGCAGAAGATTCTATGATGATATCATAGAATTGCAAAAATTACGATCAAGCGTGTTTCAGATACTGTTTCTTCCTTATCACCACATACCTATCATCACCATTCATCGATTCACAACACAACAAAGTTTTTGTTTCGGGGTTGAAATTAGATGATTTTAATGTATTTCCACGTGTTAAAACCGAAAGTGACCATACAAATTATGTATTAGCTCTTGTTTTCAATATATAGTATCATTATATTATATATATGTATATTGAGTTTTCAACAAATGAAATATTTCATCACCAACAGTTGGTACACATGTTTGTTTACATAACACCCCTCTCATCAGCTGTTAATTACTTCATTAGTCAGTTTTACGTCTAGCATATTTCAGTAAATGTTTATAACACTTCGTATATTTCAATAAGAAGTGCAGTCGTATAAAAAATACATTTATCACACTTAATGAAATCTGGATAATAAAACGCTGATGATTCATTACACGTGACAAAATTGGTCCGCGTTCAAAAACGTTTTAATGGAACGAGTATGTTTCTCATTAGCTATAAACAAATGAATGCATGCCATAAATTAAAAATAATGAAATAAACACATGGACTCTGTGACAAATTGTTTTAATGGGATTTTTCAATGTTTTGGAGCATCTCATTCGAAACATGAGTCTATGTTTTATATAGAAATAAAATATAATCAGAGCTGCCATGAAATATGGTTATTTTCAATAATAGGTTAAGGAAGGGAAGAATGTAATATATTTTTTTGACACAAAAACACATGCACTTCAGGTAATACCTAAAGGTGCTCTAATATATGAATTTACATTCGAATTCACCTATTCGATAATATCTATATTTGTATTTGAGAAAGAAGGAAGGAGTTTGAAAAAATAGACTTTTGGAACCGACAAAATATATGAAAAAGTTTTTGTTATCACAAAGTTATTACTACAGAGAGTATTCTCAAAATACCAAAATCAAAATTAACAAAACAATTGCTGCTGTTTCCTCATTTTTCAAACAGAGGCTACACATACTGTCTTCCGACAGTCCTATTCTCTGCATATAATGATTCAAATTACAGTGACCTGTAAGAAGGCCTGTTAGACATCGTAGTTCATCCCTACTGTATTCCAAAAACTGTTTGGTATCAAGCTTCGAAGGGTAAATGAACGCCTTGGAGTGAGCCAATCCTGAAAGATTCTGCCAGTAGTCCATAAATCTTTTTGCCATCTAGGTGTTCAATGTTTGTTTGGAAAAGCCTAGAGCGATGCCAATGCTAGGTTCTGGTTCGATGAAGCTGCTTGCAGTACCCTCCTTTACAAGGGAGTCAGTCAATACTATCTTTGAACTCCTATTTTTCCCTCTCAAAGGTGAAAATTCCTGATATGCCTTCTTGGTGCATATTTATGCTATACAAAGAACCTACCTCCATATTTCAAGATTCTAGGTTCAGAAACTTCGGCTGTACGTTGATATGAGATCAGGCAACAGCTAGTTATTTATATTTTTCTTCAAAAATACAGTAACTCGAAAAATATGGCAACTGGACTGAGTAATGGAAAGCTTTCAGAATCGAATTATGTTACCTATAAAGAAATTTCCAAAATTAACAAACCAAGGAATGAAAGAAAGAAATGGAAAATAGTATCGTACTGAATGGTTTTGAGGCTTGTGTGTGAATTATTGTTCCAAAAAACTGCTCAATTTCCCTATGAATCTTTCATGAGAAATTAAAAATTGATGATGTTAATAAATGCCTTTTGACATGGTTACTCATTAACGTTCGACAGCTCACTGAAATTCCTGTTGTGAATTATCATTTGAAACAAGAATAGTAGTTGAGCGATTTTTTTTAACTGGTCATGAGGCTCATTGACATTCACCAACTTCTCGATAGTGATAGACTGACTGCTGATTAACGGAAACACAGACCCAGTAGACTTTCCAATGAAATTTTATTGTAAATATTGACTAAATAACAATGTTGACATATGAATTTCATAAAAAAATTTACCTACTTCCATTCATCAGTTTTTAAGTTATGGTTGAAAAACTGAAGAATGTGCAAATATTTCAAGGTTATCAGAAATGATCAATGTGAAGTCGACGTCTGACAAGGAAACAAAATTGAAATTGAGATTCAGCATCAAGAGAAAACATACGACGAGAAAAGTAATTTTATAATTCATTCTGCAGCTTGAATGATTAGACTATTCGTTGAATAATAAAAACGAAAATGATATACTCCTCATTAGAGATAATTTGTTTTCAAGTACTTTCGAAAGTTAACATCCTAATCTCTGGCCCTAGTATTCAGTATTGATTTGTCTGTTCATTGGAAAATAAACATGGGTGTCAGATTCCTACAAGTTTTGTTGTGTATGATGGTTATTTGTGGTTTTATTGAAGAAAGTGAGTATAGCAATGATGTTTCACATTTTTTCGTTAAAAAAGTTGATTTGGTACCCAACAGCTAAGCTAAGAAATATTTCTCATCCATCACGATACTTATACGAGGAAAAGTAGAGTTTTCACTGCAATGTTCTATTTTAATCATGATATAATACGGAAAAATGCTCTTCCAAAATCCTTTTTACAATTAATTTATATTTTTGTTGTTTTTCCAATGTACATAGTTTCAACTTCATCAAATATGTTATAATAAGGACCAAATACCTATTACTCTTCCAGGTACTGTTTTCATTCTGTTATTTATAAAACGTTTGAAAGTTTTTCATGAGTCATGAAACAGTTTTTCGTGTTTCCAGGTTATGGACTGATGTGCCTAAGATGTGAGTCCAAAACAGTGAACGGCACTTGTAAAAACAGTAGAAAATTCCACATATCATCGAAAAGACATCAGTCGTGTTACGGAAGGAGGCCGAAATGTTATGCTAGAGCAACTGGTAATATAAACATTTTCAACATATTCGAGATATTCATTTGAAGATGTACTTATATTTGTGAACACCTCAGAGTGAATGTAGTATTTTTATTTGCGTTCAAAAAATTTTCAAAATTCAACTTTCCAAAGTAGCTCAGAGTTTTCATCAAAATAAATGATCTCAAAACCATTTAATAAAAATTTCAGAACTCTGGGTTGAGGAGAAAAAAGATTTGAAAAATATATACACTTAACTATACTAAAATTTCATAATACTAGGCACTAAGTTATACTATTGCATTGAAATGGAATATATAGAATTCCATTATATGATGAAATATATAGAATGATAGAATATATTTGATAGAATATATTCTTAATATACCACAAGTCAAAATTTTCGAACTCCACCGAATGTGAAGTGGCTTGAAAATTTTAGTTATAACATGGTATTACATGGTATATGACAAATATACAATGTGACAATTCAAAAACTTACAATGCGCTACATATCATAAACGAATGATAATATTGAAAAAATAAAAAAAATCCTATAGTGAGAAGGGGAAAATGAAATGACATAAAATAACTCACCACATCAATCCTCCAAAACCAACCTACCTCGACTGAAAAAGTCACATAACAAACCCTTACTAGTGACTAATCATTAAAAAACCTATGAAACATTGTATCCAATGACTAAATGATGATTCTACAGAGTGCATCAATAAAAGCAAAATTGAATGAAGTTTTTTTCAAATACTAGTTTCCTTAAAACTTCAATTGAGTCGATTATTGAAGTGGGTTTTGTTGTTTCGTATGCAATACAGCCTATTTTCAATTCTGCACAAAAACTGGCCAATGTTATACTGGTAATTGTGCGACGCATGTTGAATTTTACGAACAGCTGACTGGAGATAATCGCTCAAAAAAACAGGTGGCGTTAAGTCTGGTGACCTCTGTGGCCACTTAATGGGACCTCTCCTTCCGATGCATTTATTCGAATAATTAATATCCAACCAATGCCTTACTGCGGCTGCATAGTGACAAGTTGCTCCAACTTATTGAAAGTGCAGCAAATCTTCGTTCAGAGCTAGATTGCCTTGGTCGTCTCTTCAGTTCTCCAATTCATGCATTTTTCAAAAGTCTAACTTCAGTGCGAATTCTTTCAGTAATGAGTTCACAAGACTTGATTTTTCTGTCTGAATAGTCATCGCCTACTTCTTGAAAAAATTGCGTTTTCTACGGGTGCAACTTTTGAAATTTCATCCCCTTCCTCATCGACGTGAAATTCCTGTCTGTTATTGCGGATACTTGGCGAGTTGATGGAGTAGGATCTTTTTCAAATTGCTCACGGACCTCAATTCAGCTTGCTTTTTTCCACAATTTCAAATTATTTTTTAAAGGTATTCATTCAGCTTGCCCTGTTTGTTTGTTTTTTTATTTTTCTATTCATGCATTTGGGTCAAATTAAGTAATTGAAGTTTGACCCTCTTTCTATTGACATATTGATCAGAACTTCACTAAACATATTAAATATGGATGATTCATACTACAATTTAATAAATTATGCTACAAAATGGCGGATTACATATTTTTTTTACAACTACCCCAATATTGGTGTTTGATGACAAGTCTCACTCAGTAGAATAGTAGTACACTTTGACAAAAGATACGAATTCGAGATGGCCGCAGCTACAAAATGGCGGATTACATATTTTTCCACAATTATCACGATATGGGTATCAAATGACTTGATTAGTACTATAGTATTACACCATAAAAAAGAAGCAAGTCCAATATAATCTATTCAAAGAAATTTGTCAACTCAGAATCGGAATACAAGCATGGATCGTTGGGCATAGTATTCACATATTTACTCAGGTTACGCTACAGGATGAGTTGAAAATAAATAGAATAAATGAAAAATATTTTGGACAATTTTATAGAAAAATGTAGTGAAAATTCAAAAGGTCTTAGATAGCAGTCACCACACAACTCTCCTTAGCAATCTACGATATTATTCAGATAAAATAGTCTTTGTACGAAGCGTAACCTGAGTAAATATGTGAATACTACGCCCAACGATCCATGCTTGTATTCCGATTCTGAGTTGACAAATTTATTTGAATAGATTATATTGGACTTGCTTCTTTTTTATGGTGTAATACTATAGTACTAATCAAGTCATTTGATACCCATATCGTGATAGTTGTGGAAAAATATGTAATCCGCCATTTTGTAGCTGCGGCCATCTCGAATTCGTATGTGCTGTCAAAGTGTACTACTATTCTACTGAGTGAGACTCGTCATCAAACACCAATATTGAGGTATGATTTTCATGGAATTATTTTCCAGCAGCTTGATTGCATTAACCTTTCTAGATTTCATATCATTTCTAAAAACATGTGAATTCGTTTTCCGATGGCATTTCAGGTTAGCTTCCCAAATTTCTGCTACCGCAGTTGCCGGTTGATTGGTCAAACCACCAACACTAACATAAAAATTTGGCAAGTTGACTTGGGTGTCACACCAATAGGTGGTTCCATTTATGTTTCGCTTGCGTTGACGCGGCTATTTTTATCCAGTTCTGGAATGATGAAGGGAGGGATATAATATTTATCTGCTGGTAGTTATTTCATTAGATTTCTCACAAATTGTCCGTCTGTTTGAAAAACGAACGATTTCAGTTTTTTTGATCAGTGGTTTTCATGTTATATTTTTTAAATACTCCGGTAATGTGTTATATACTTCAATCATGCAATAAAAGAATGCTCTTTGTGAAATTGTTTTTTACGATAGTGTAATAAGCGAGTTGCGCACGATTTCGGGTGTTATATTGGTAGCTTCTAGAGCTTGATTTGTTACCACAGAATTGGTACTTCACGTTGGAACAGAAGGAGTATGATTATCTTATATCCGTTATTTGACATTCTACATATAGAAGATCTGAAGAACAGGTTTTCAATGGCATATCGTATATGATAATCCTTCCTGTAAGTCAGAAACGAACGTGTAATCGAAAATTTCAAAGAAAACGTCGATTTTTATTGCTAGATGACTGTTTCTGATACGGAAATCATATCCGAAACTTCATCCTCCTGCGGTCAGCAACTACCTCCCTTATTTTTTTCAATAGCAATTGGGATCGAGTGATACATTATTTAAAAGGTCTTTTTTCCCTCTATTACTTTTCTATTTTCTTATTTGAAATTGGGTCATTCTTTTTCGAGAAATCAAATGTTGAACGTTTTATTTAGAAAAAAAAATGCTGTCGCTCATTTTATTGAGAAAATCAACAAAAGTAATATCAATGGCAACAATCAACGGACAAATTGTTCAAAATGATCTCCATCTGGTTTCATACAATAATACAGTCTTTCGAAAGTGTTCCTTACATTATTAAAGATGTCCGGAATCAGAAATCGGCATTCTCGAACAATTCGTGGTCGTTATTTCGATAATAGGTTGCTACAATTTCTGTTCTTTCTTCAGTAAAATAAACCATGTTGGAACACAGTGAACAAAGATGACTGAATAATAATTCGTGAAGAAGTGACAGTGGCCAACTATCTACTTTTTGTTCTGTCACAACTAGACTCAACAAAAACTACCAGTGCAAAAAAACTAACAGTGTCGTCCATTTCGGAACTTCTATTACTAATTAAATGAATTTTACGAATCTAGAAGACCTGCGACCGAGAATTGTTCGGGAATGCCGATTTCTGACTTCGGACATCTTCAATAATGTAAGGAATGCTTTCGAAAGTAGACTGTATTATTGTATGGAACTAGGTGAAGGAACACCCGATGAATAAATACTCACTTACATACTTACTCGAGGTTTCATATATCTGATAGAAGTGTGAAAAGATTTTTGAAAGCAAAACAGTAGTTGATATAGAACCAAACGCCGTTTTCATTTAGGTATCACTGAACCACCATTCCTATTGGAATCAATGGGGATTTTGCGTCGATTTTTTAATTAGAAATTGAATTGTTCCTGGAGTTTTGCGAAAAGTTCGTTCTGGTTTCAAGGAATATATTATGATTTTGTCATCTGAATTTTCCTTTTCTGATTTCATGTGTGGTTGTTTCAGATGTTTTTCCACTCAGTTTCATTTGAACTATTATTCATTATATTCTTCTATTGAAATTGATATGAAGGAAATAATTCATTTGATAATAGCAACAGTCAACCATGCGTTGGTTATTTATTCGATAATATCATTTATTATTTTTCAGTGGACGAAATGGGAAATGCTCACTTCGAACGTGGTTGTACCTTGAAGAATATTTGCAATGAAAACGTTGATATCAAGTACTGCTCAATGTGTAACTCCAAATTCTGCAATTACCAAGCCATGGTTCTTGACCAGCAAGTGAAAGATTTTGCCAGGCAAGTCAGGAATTCCAAACGCTTCCATAAAACATCCCAGAAGAAAACAATTAATGTAACCAAAGTAATGAATGTGAACCAGCCAGTATCAAGCAATATATCTGAGACAAAAAAAGACCCAATATCTGTATATCAGACACCCTCCATGAGTGTTTTGAATTCAGTACCAGCAAATGTTCCTGAGAAATTGAACGAAACTAGACCCAAACATTTAACGGAAGATAGCATGACCTCAGTACCCACCAATGTATCCAAAACGATGACCTTGACAGAGTCTGAAAATCGAAGGCTTTCTGAAAATGCTTCGGACTCAGTCCGTAATGTTGCCTCTGAGACAGCTGACAATAACCACCAGATAGTATCTAAGATAGTGATTGACTCAGTACCTGTGAATGTATCTGAATATTCGAATCATACCATACCAAAAGCACCATTCCAGACCAAGTCTGATGATATATCAGAATATGTGGACACTTCCAAATCTACATCTGAATGACTCAAATAAAAATATGGGAAATCGATTGTTGGAAATGAAATATTTTATAGCCTATTTTATCAATAATTATTCGATTACGGAAAAAACTCTAATACATATACTGTAATATAACATTTCACTTCGTTTGTAAAATATTCTCGTATATAAATTTTCAGATAAAGTACCAACAATATTATGAAATGAATTGAATATTCGCCTCACAATATCCAACGATGGTTATGCATACTGTGTTCGAAAAATACATTTTTATATTTTGCCTAAAATATTCAAAGAAATTTGTCAACTCAGAATCGGAATACAAGCATGGATCGTTGGGCATAGTATTCACATATTTACTCAGGTTACGCTACTTACAAAGACTTTTTTATCTGAATAATACCGTAGATTGCTAAGGAGAGTTATGTGATGACTGCTATCTAAGACTTTTCGAGTTTTCACTACATTTTTCGATAAAATCGTTCAAAATATTTCTGACTTATTTTATTTATTTTAAAGTCATCCCGTATCTCTAAACTTTTCAACTACGTCGCTGATGTACAAGTGACAATTCTTGTTTGGAATCCCATTGAATCATCATCATCATCCACACCATTGGTTAGCATTTTTCACACCAGACAGCTTTGTTTCGACCCACAATCAGCTCTAAGTTCTCAGTGCGAACTTAGAGATGAACACAGCAAGTATAGAGCTAGTGACGAGACTTGGGGGCAAGGGAGATTACGACCTCGTTAGTACAGTTCCAAGTGATACTAGATACGTATGGCTCAATATGGCCTTTCATCTATACAGGGCGTTCCAACGAAAACTTGACCCCCTAAGTCAGAAACGAACATGTAATCGAAAATTTCAAAAAACACGTCAATTTTTGTTTCTAGGGGGACTAATTCCGATATGGAAATCATACCCGGAACTTTACCCCTCTGCGGTCAGCAACTACCGCCCTATTATTTCATTGGCATGGGGGATCGAGTGATACATCATTTAAAAGGTCTTTCGTTCTTCTATCACTTCTGTTATTTTCTCTGGAATTGATTTATTTGTTATTGACAAATCAACTATTTAACGCTCATTTCATTGAGAAAATCAACAGAATTACTATCAATGATAACGCAATCAACGGATAAAGTGTCCAAACTGACCTCAATACAATAATGGAGTCTACTTTCGAAAGCGTTCCATTCATTATCGAAGATGTCCGGAGTCAGAAATCGGCATTCCCGAGCAATTTTCTGTCGCAGGTCTTCTAGATTTGTAGAATTTATTTAATTTGTAGTAAACGTTTTGAATAGAGGACACTGTTAGTTTTTTCTGCTCTGGTGAATCTAGTTGTCGCAGAACAAAAAGTAGATAGTTGGCCACTGTCACTTCTTCACGAATTATTATTCAGTCATCTTTGTTCATTGGTTTATTCTACTGAAGAAAGAATAGAAATTGTTGCAACCTATTATCGAAATAATGAATATGGCTAAAGCTGCTGCAACAATTTATAATACGAATCATCCAGACCACAACGTGAGCCATCAATAGGCTAATACAGTAGACTGTATTATTGTATGGAACTAGGTAAAGGTCATTTTGAATAATTTATCCGTTGATTTTGTTGTTTCTTTCCTCATTGAAATGATGTATCACTCGACCTACCATGCATGCTATTGAGAAAAATAAGGGGGGTTGTTTCTGACAGCAGTGGGTGAAGTTTCTGATATGATTTTCATATCAGAATTATTTCCCCTAGATATAAAAAATGACGTGTTGTTTGAAATTTTTAAAGTTCAGTATTTCAAAAGTTATTTAAAAAAAAACGAAAATAAAAATAAAACTTCAACATCCTGTATCTTGGAAACGAAGCGTTTCCGGACATTTATTTATTTCGACAATTCATATTAGAATATTGTGAGGAATCACCTCCTGAAGTTTGTCAAAGTACTTTTGAATCACAGGATTACTGTGCGTTAATTCGTCCGAAGCTTTGGGCCCAGAGCGCAGACGCCGCAAAAATATTTATACACATATATATACAACTATGTATATAGGTTAAACGCGAAAGGTGAAATTCAATATTCTTCTTAAAATAAGTAAATAACAATAATATATATGTGCCTAGCTTTCCCCACTACTTGCGTGTCTTGATGCCTCCCTGGTCGTTAAATGAACTGTCGTGAAGGCTGGTAAGTTCCCAGATTCCTGTTCTATCTGCCAAGAATCAGTGTCATCCAAAATCTAGCCGTACCAAACAACCCTTATGAAGAAAAAAAAACAATGTATCAGATGAGTATCGAACGTTTCCAAAACAAACTAAAAACTGCTGGAAGTCAAATCTCTCCAGAATCATTGATTAACAATTTCGAATCATTTAGATTTATTGAGATGGTCTGATCTTCCTATATTTATTAAATTTCAACGTTAACGGAATATAATAAGAAGAGCCAAAATTAATTGAATGTTTATGCTGCCCCCAGTATATAAAACAAGACATTATGATCTTTATATCGGTTGCAAGTGAATTAAGAAGCTACTAATGATATTAGCAAATCGGTCTAGATTGGAGTCCAATCATAATACTCCTGAGGTCCATCCGGTATATTAAGGCATTGGAAATAATAATAAATGTAAACGATTATGAAGGCCATCAAAATAAATTAGGTAAAGTAACTTTCTCAATCACTCCCTAATTTTTTTTTTTTTCATGACAAACCAGTTGATCCCTTTATTTTCAATATATTTTATGATAGGAACACATCGGATATCCAATTATACAATAAAGTACCACCGTTTCACTAAAGCCTGATTTCGAAAATATTACTCAAAAATAAACACAATCATGAAATTCATGTGTACAAGCAACCATCTGTCTACCAGAAAGAAGATGTTGCTTTACACTTGGAAAGTCTTTGATGAGTTAATAAATTCCCTATTTAAAGTGAAAACAATTACTATGTCTAGGAAAACTGAGAATAATTCATCATATAAGTGACCTACCTTCTTTTCAGAAGAGTTGTTTTTTTTTCTCCTTTCTGTTTCTGATCGTATTTGGAACTTTGTAAACGATAAGGGGCAGAAACCTGCGCCTTTGTTCTGTAGATTTTCTTATGCTTTTATATAAACGTTAGAATTTCGATAGCCACTAAAATTGAATGAGAAAATTAGTTCGAAACATTTTTTTCCATTCGAGAGGTAAAATAGCGTGACTGACTTACGTTTAGTTAGCTTTATTGATCCTCCTTAGAGTGCGGAAACATGGGTCATCCCTTCCAAATTCGGAACTATATATTTGGAACAATACCCAATACACACTTTCTACTTATTAATTATCCAAATAAACCTACTCCCGTCAGGATGTTTGACAAAAAAAATGTATATCTATTTGGAAGATTAACAACTTGCTGTCACTATTTTGGGTAGCAAGATAGAAAATAAGTATTATTGATCGTAGGAAAATCTAGTAGAATAGTTGGATATCTATACAATACACGAGATACAATAGAAATTTCGGCGAAAACACCCTCATTTTTACAGAAAAATCACGGAAACTCTTTGAAAATGAGGTTGGGCACACTGGCAAACCAGATGTGTCCCTATCTGTGACGAAAAGTTCGTCATCAATAAATGACAATTCTGTCGATTCCATAATAAATAAACGAACAATATTTACAAGTAATTCAGCTAATACATCAAGGTAAGTACACAATGGTCTACATTCACTTACTGTATGAATTAAAAACGACGTGAAAGGTTCTCAGCTAGGAATCTTATGATAGAGTCGTAGGATGTTAGATAACTTCTTAGATCGGTAGAGCCGTGGCCTGGGATTTTTTGCAACAATGATCGGTTTTGTTTATTTTTGTATGAAGAATAGTCGGTGGGCCTTTTATTTTTCATTGTCAATAAAATTGTATATTTTATAATGAGTGTTCATTTATTCCAAAAAGTTATAAGTAAAGGTAAATTTAGACCGTTACAAACACAACACTGTTTGAGAGATCGTCCACTTTTTCTATATACACTCATTACGATAGTCTTCCCACATACCTAAAAAAATTAAAACTGCTATTTTTCAAGCTACAGGCTCGTAACTAGCTACATGAAAAACGGCTATCCTGCAACTGAAGTCACTCAGAAAATACAAAAATTCAAATCATTCTGTAAGCATTATGAATTATTATCCGTCTTTTATTCCTTTTCTTTTCTTTTTTTCTCTTTCTTACTACATAGCCACTATAATTTTTTGTACATAATATGTTTGATGAACATTTTTCTAAATTGTAAAGGAGTTGAATGAAAGAGCAGGATTCAGCGTGTTGCACACGCTTGTTTCCTGAATTCCGCTCCGGGACTTTACCAAACCCATTGTATTTTTTTGTGCTCTTTCTTTTTTACCTTGGTAAATAAAAGACATTTTCATCATTATTATTACTATTATTAACTGACCTGAGATTTATTTTCAATTACTTTTTTGGTTTTCCACTTATCTATCATTATACCAAAACTATAAGAAATTTTCATCATTATTATTACTATTATTATCTGACCTGAGATTTATTTTCAATAACTTTTTCGGTTTTCCACTTATCTATCATTATACCAAAACTATAAGAAAACTTTTCACTTCTGTGCATAATTTATATTTTTTTGTGAAAAGCTCTCGTTATTGTTAATTTTCAACGAAAGATATATAGATTTTTAGAAAAGACACGTTTTGGCTTTATACTTATTCATCTTTATACAAAGACCTGCGGGAATCTTTTCAAGAGAGAAAGAGGGTAATTTGTTTCAAAATGAACTGGATGTGTAGTTCATGGAAGGCTGTAACTTTCAGACGCAAACTGGAAAAAAGCCCTCTCGAAACAACTACTTCCATAGAAACATTGAATCATACGAAAGAAAAGATACTTAAAAAAGAAGTACTTGTATATGAACATTGAATAACAAAAAAAACACTTTTTTCTATTCAGTTTGTAATCCAAACGTTATGGAAGTCATTCAGATATCATTTACGGGGTTGCTACATCATCCAATATATGAAAGAGGTAAAATTTCACTTACATTGAACACTCTCGTCTTCGATGGCGGACGTCCGATGTTTAGAAATAAAACACTTGCCTTATTGCCTCTTCAGCAGCAATCTGGCAGAAATTA